GATTCCACTGGAGGAAGCATAAAAACTAAAATAATTGGTGGCTTAAATGAGATAAAATTTCCTTTATTTTTTAAGTTAAAAATGTTCAAAAGTAGGCAATGCAAAGATAGCATGACTCCATGGTCATCAAGGACTCCTGTCTCTTTTAAGTTTCTTCTAAACTAACTATCTTAGTTCATTGTTTCCATCACTGGGTCCAATATGGCTGGGGTTTTTTTGTACTAACCATAACATATGTGTGCCAGGCAGCAGGGAGCAGTTAGAGAAGGGGAAAAGCGGACTCATTCCTAGAGATGAGTCATGTCTCTTTACATAGTCTTCCTGGAAGTCTCCTACAACATTTATACATATATCTCATGAACTATAACTCAGTAACACGTCCAGTTCTAAATGCCAAGGAGGCTGGGAAAATGTATTCTGTTGGCTGAGCACACTAACACCATAAATGAAGTTTGGGATCTGTTACTAAAGAAGGAAAGATAAATGGACATGAGTGCCCACTACAGTTTCTGTCACAAATGATCAGTGTTTCCCAAAGGGGAAAAGCTGATTTCATTGCCATGCTACTTCATCTCGCTAGATAAATGTGGTGCCATTTTCTTCCTCTTTTAACACCAATGAAATTAAGTGGGAACAACTTAAAATAATTATACTAAAATTAATACTAATATATTAATGAAAGGAAACACAATTATATAACATTTTAAAAGAAAACATCATCAAAGAAGTTTAGTGCTATGAGAGCCAGACATTCTCATTGTACCAGTTCTCTTTCTCCCATTACACTTCACTATGTTAGTGCATTACTGCTTTGTATATATCTAATGGTTTAAGAATAAGAAAATCTACAATGAAATACAATTGATTACATGGAATTAATTTCCCACTGTTTCCCATCTTACATATTTCTAAGCTATTCCAGAACAAGGATTTGTACAACTATTGACCTCATCAGTGTTTTGATTAGAGAGTTTAAGACCATTCATGTTGGTATAGTAATAAAGAAAAAGATGACATACCGTTTTTTTAAAACATAGTGACAACATGAGAAATTCTACAGGCAAGTTTAATGTAATTTAAATTTCATAATAGGTTGGCAGAAAAACCATTACATTGAATTTTTCACAAAAATTAAAATGTGGATTATGAACGATTATTTTAACTGAATGTTGAAACCAAAGTCATTTGTAAAGTTGGAGTTTTCTTGCATTTCTGGCCCAAGGGGATGGCCCTGGAAATTGGGTAAAACTGGCTTCAGAAATTTGAACTCACTGGTCCCTGAGCCTCCGGTCAGACACACCTCATACTGGTAGCTCTGGGACAGGGTCCCGGTGCCCGTGACATCCACCAGGTGGCCAGGAAAGTGGCCCTCAGGCACCGAGAAACGACCCCCCGAGGCCGCCCTGTTCCTCCTGCACAGCCGCACCGCCACGAACAGCAGCACCGAGAAGAGGAAGAGCGAGGACACCGACGCCAAGGCGACGACCAAGTAGACGGTGAGCGAGTCGGCCTGGGCCTGGTCCGCGGCCGCTTCCGGGAGCGGCAGGTAGGGCTGGGAGAAGCCATCCACCAGGAGCACGTGCAGCGTGACGCTGGCAGACAGCGGACGCTCGCCATTGTCCTTCACCAGCACCAGCAGCCTGTGCTTGGCCGCGTCGCGCTCGCTCAGCGGCCTGGCGGTGCGCACCTCGCCGTTGTGCGCCCACACGGCGAACAGCCCGGGCTCCGTGGCCTTGAGCAGCTGGAACGACAGCCAGGCGTTCTGGCCCGAGTCGCCGTCCACCGCCAC